CTCGTCCCTATGTCACCTTGCTGTTGGTGTTGAACACCAATCGCAAAAGCGATGAAGTGCAGGTCTGCATGCATCTTCAGCAGCTAATGACTATTCTATTGGCTCTCCATGGCAGCCATTAACCTGTCTGCTAACAGGCCAGAGCCAGAATTATACAGATGATATTGGTGGACTCTTCCAACCTTTGATCTAGTTTCCCTAGTATTAAGAAAGAAGTTTGCCTGCTGCCCCTGCGTCAGTTTGCTCATGTTGACAAAGTTATTAATGGCCAACAAAAACGGAAGTTGCTGAAAAAGCTCAGCAGGTCTGGCAGCATCCGTGAAGAAAATATCAAAGTTAATGTTTTGGGTCCGATGACCCTTCCTCAGAACTCCCCCCGTGCTGAGGAAGGGTTACCAGACCTGAAACGTTTACTCTGATTTTTTTCTTCACAGCCTCTGCCAGACCCGCTGAGCTTTCCTAGCAACTTCTGTTTTTATTACTGACTTACAGCATCCACAGTTCCTTCGGTTTTTATTAATGGCCAACACCATGCAGGCCTCTCCTACCCGAGACTGAGCAAGGGTCTGGACTCCAGCAGTACGCACAGTGCCAGTGGACTGGGCATTTCTTCCTTGGCCAACTGGAGAGATATGCCAGTAATGTGCTCACTACGACGTCCTCCCAACTCTAATCTGGTTCACTTACCCACCGAGATGTCAGCATCTGAGCTGTGAAGAGTGCAGGAGACAGCCTGTTCTGTGTATCCTCTGACAGGTCCGTGCCTTCTGGCACAGAGGTGAAGGAAATGCTATTGACAGGAAAAGCTGGTCTCTTCATGGTGGAGGCTGGCAGGGACGCAAGTTCTTGCAAAAAGCATGACAGGGAATGAGTTAGGAAACGCGGTAGAAATTTAGGTATGTAAAGAATACATTCACAGTGCTGGGACTGGGAAGGCAGCACAGCACAACGATTCTTGGTCACCAAGGCATAAAGCTTTTGCCATCATCACATCAGTGGTCATGGATCTCTCGTGGTAGGGCAAGAATTCTCTCTGCATAGCAGGTGAGCAGATAAATGTCAGGCAGCCTACTACCCACCTTTTCCCTCACTGCCCTACCATGGGCCATTATCTCCTGGCATGAGACAAGGTCAGGATTTGTGTGAGATGAAAGTGACTGGCACAGCTGCTGCACTGGTGCAAGTTGAGGAAAGTTGGTGAGGTATCTGAAGTCAACGAGGGTGTGCTAAGTTAATGGTTTTGGGGGAATGGGGTGTGTTTGAGGGAAGATGCTGCTTATAACACTGGGAGCGGTAGACCATGAATCTTGGTGAGCACAGTAAGGGAATTACAAGTGAATGTGAGTTTAGAAAAGAGAAGATGATGGCATTTAAACTTGTGGAGTGCAGAAAGTCATTAATCTACTAATTGCATGGCTGGGCAATCCTTACCATGGACACCACACTGATCCAGGTAGCAACTTCAGACCAGGCTGGGAGGTTCTGGTGCTGTGCTCTCCTCTGGTGATCCTAAGGATTGACATCCCTCCTCTCCATCCACCAGGATCTCTAGGTTCCTATCAACAAACTTTTCTCCGTCAGCCATTTCTGGTGCGATTGTTCATAAACATGAACCATGAAGGACTATTTCTGGCTTGCAGCATTCAAACTGGTGCTCAGCTGGAGTTTAAGTATGACACTGGTGGCAAGAAACCACAGACCATCCTCACAGCTGAACATTCCTGCACCACTGCTGGGCACAAGATGGTGTGAGAACAGCTCTGTGGAAGCATGGTGGATGCTTAAGGTGAGTATCATATAATTGCATGAGAGCTCACAGAGAGAAACTCTCCATAACACTCACTGACATCAACAATTAGCCAAATTTTTGAAAAATCCAGTCCATTATCTCCAACAGAGAATCATTTCCTGAGTCGTGAACTCCAAGTGTCAATCCAGATTTCCACCCTCAAAGCTTAGGGTGGGATTTGAACCCACAATCTTCAGCTTTTGAGGAGCAGTTGCTACCATCTGAACTAGAGCTAGCAGTCAGTATGAGCTGAGAGTGACCTTTCTTGACATCAAAGCATCATTTGAGTATGACATCAAGAAGCCCCAGCAAAACTGGAGTCATTAGGAATCGGGGGAAAGCTCGTAGGCGGTGAGTCATATCTAGCATGAGGGAAAATGTTTGTGTTAGTTGAAGTTCAATCATCTCAGCCCCTTGAGATGAGTTTATCAGGGAAGTGTGCCAGGGCCAACAACTTTCTGCTGCTTCATTAATGACTCTCCTTCCTTCATAAGGTCAGAAGCGGAAATGTTTGCTGATGATTACACAATGTTCAACACCATTTATGAGTTCTCAGGTGCTGAAGCAATCTGTGTCCATCTGTAGCAAGATCAAGACAACGTTCAGGCCTGGGTTGCTAAGTGGCAAATAACATTTGTCCCATACAAGTGGCAGGTAATGACCACTTGCAACAAGGGAGAATCTAACTGTTGCCCCTTGATGTTCAATTGTCTTATATCATGTAATCTTCCACTATCAACATCCTGGGGATTAGCATTGAGCAGAAACTAAACTGGATTGGCTACATAGATAGTGTTGCAACAAAAACAGGTGAGGAATTCTGCAGCAACAATTCACCTCCTTATTCCTCAATGCCTGCCCACTGTTCACAAGGCACAAATCAGGAGTGTGATGGAACACGCTGCACTTGGCTCATTGGTTGCAGTTCCAATACCAGTCAAGAAGCTTGCTGGCATCTAGGACAAAACAGCCCATTTGTTTGGCAGTCCATCCACCAACTTCAACTTTCAATCCCGAAACCACTGATGCTGTTCTAACTCAAGGCTCCTTTGTCAGCACCTTCCAACTTGTCATCAGTTCCAGCTTGAAGGATAAGTGGAACAGAAGCAGGGACACACCATTACCTGCAAGTTCTCCTCTAAGCCACATAGCATCCTGACTTGGATCTTGATTGCCATTCCTTCACTCCTGGTCCAAAATGCTGGAACTTCCTACCTAACAGTACTGTGGGTGTTCCTGCAGCCAAGGATGGTTAAAGAAAGCAGCTCACAATTACCTTCTCCTGGACAAAGTGATGAGTAATAGATGCTGACCTAGCCAACAATGTCAACATCCCAAAAATAAATACAAAAAAACTCTCTTGGAATTAAGTCAAGTAAATAATTAATAACACTTTCATCCATCCGTTTTCAAAGAAGGAGTGAAATAATGATATTGTATCAATAAAGCAGCAGAGGAATACACTAATGTTATACAGTCATAGAGTCCTACAGCACAGAGACAGGCCCATTGACCCAAACCGGTCCATGCTGACCAAAATGTCCATCCACCCTAAGCCCATTTCCCTGCACTTGGCCCATATCCTTCCAAACCTTTCCTATCCATGTATTTGTCCAAATGCCTTTTAAATGTTGTTTATGTACCCGCCTCAACCACCTCCGCTAGCAGCTCATTCCATATGTATTCCACCCTCTGTGTAAAAAAGTTGCCCCTTAGGTTCCCATGTATTCTTTCCCCACTACCTGAAACTGATGCCCTCAAGTCCTTATTCCCCAAACCTGGGGAAAAGGCTGAGTGCATTAACCCAATTCATGCCTCTCATGATCTTATACACTTCTATAAGATCCCCCTTCGGTGTCTTATGCTCGGAAGATAAAATTCCTATCTTGTGCAACCTTTCCCTATAACTCAGTCCCTCGAGTCCTGGCAACATCCTTGTAAATTTCTTCTGTACTCTTTCCAGTTTAATAACATCTTTCCCATATCAAGGTGACCAAAACTGAACACAATACTCCAAGTGTGACCTCACCAATGTCATGTACAACTGCATCATAACTTTCCAACTTCTATACACAATATCCTGACTGATCAAGGCCAAGGTGTCAAAAGCTTTCTTCACTGCCCTGTCTACCTGTGACTCCAATTTCAGAGAACCGTGCACCTGAACTCTAAGGCCCCTCTGTTCCACTACACTGCTTAAGGCCCTAACATTCACAATGAAACTCCTACCTTGATTTGACTTTCTAAAATGCAACACCTCGCACATCTCTATATTAAACTCCATTTGTCATTTCTCGACCCACTTCCCCAGCTGATCAAGATCCTGCTGCAATTTCTGATAACCTTCCTCACTGTCCATGATATGCCTATTTTAGTGTCAAACTTACTAATCATGCCTTGTACATTCTCATCCAAATCATCAGTATAAGTAACAAACAGCAATGGGCCCAGCACCGAACCCTGAGGCACACCACTAGTCACAGGTCTCCTGTCAGACAAGCATCCTTCCAGTATTACCCTCTGTTTCGTACCATCAAGCCAACTGTGTGTCTAATTTGCCAGCTCTCCCTGGCTTCCATGTGATCTAACCTTCCAGAACAGCCTACCATGTGAAACCTTATCAAAGGCCTTACTGAAATCCATACAGACTACATGCACTGCCCTGTCTTCAGCAACCTTCCTGGTCACTTCATCAAAGAACTCTAATAAATTTACGAGGCATTATCTCCCATGTACAAAGCCATGCTGACTACTCTTAACCAAACTCCGTCTTTCTAAATGCATGTATATCTTATCCCTCAGAATCTTCTCAAGTAACTTACCTACCACAGATGTTAAGCTTACTGGACTGTAATTCCCAGGTTTTTCTTTGCAGCCCTTCTTGAATAAAGGCACAACATTTGCTACCCTCCAGTCCTCTGGGACTTCACCCGTTGCTAACGACAACGCAAATATATCAGCCAGGGCCCCTGTAATTTCTTCCCTCACCTCTTGCAGGGTTAGTAACTCATTTACTATAAAATACTCATTTGGTAGCACAGAACTTTGGGCACTTACAAATTCAGTCATTTAGCATTTAATTTCTTAATTATGCTTATATATTTGTGTTTATGTGTATGTAAACTTCTTATTTAATATGTGGAAATGTATTAAAATATTAAAGATTGCGTGCCTGCACCATCATTAAAAAGATATATAAATGTGGACTTACTTCAGGCAAGCTTTGTATGAAATTGTGAATATTAGCTGCTTTTGCAGCCTCTTCAATCTCTTCTTGAGTTACAGTTTTGCTGTTGTCACCATATTCTATATTTTCAGCAATGCTACAGTCAAAGAGTATGGGCTCCTGTGATACGATTCCAATCTGTTGTCTCAACCAAGACAAGGCGAGACATTTACAATCTTTCCCATCTACCAACTGGAAAAGACAATATGATGCAGTGAATTCAAACTATACATGCTGAAAAAGTGCATGAAATACTTCCCTGATTACTATATGCATAACTAATTTATTCTATGAAGAGTAGTCTTATTAATCCACACTTACTTCCAATACGATTTCATCTTGCATGATGGCAGGTTATAATGTACTGTAGTCAGTAAAAATAATGAAACATACACACAAACACAAGCACCATATCATCATTATTTCTTGAAGACTGGGATTTGGTTCCAGGAGTGCAGCACCTTTCTATTTCCCTGTTCAAGGTGCCATGTTTCACTTATAGGTGTAGACAGGTTACTTTATTGCAAATGTGTACATCTTGAATGGTTAATATCAGTGAATGAGAACTCTGGAAGAGTGCAAGGACTGTACTTGCATTGCTGGAAGAATAAACAGGATATAAAAAGCCAACAATTTTTCAGTTAAAAACACTGTGAAGTCTCGGTTGTATTCTTATTATATGGATGCGAGAGCTGGTGCATCAGAAAGGTTGATAACGACAGTTGTCGACAGCTGATGAGTTAATGAGAAGAATACAGTGACTGTGGTGAACCACTGACCTATATACTGAACACATGGCTTGGACAAGAATCACCTATTATTCAGAAGGTTCAAGAGTGATAACTGTAATGATTTTAAGAATAACAACAACTGGATGGACCGTTTTATGGACCGACCTACAAACTTACATGGAACAAGATGCAAAAAGAGGACCAAGAAGGTACTGGATAGACAATGTCAAGAATAATTTGCTATCGAAAGGGACAAAGATGGCTGAAGCAAAGAGGTCAGTTCAGAAGCAATGACCATGAGGTGAATTCACTTGATGCTCAACGTTGCTGCTGAGCTGATAGATGAGAAATTAAGTTTTATGAATTGACTCTTACCAATTGTCCATCAACAGCATCATAAAATCTCTGAAGTAACTGAACTGATGTGCTCTTTCCACATCCACTGCTTCCAACAAGAGCCAGAGATTGGCCTTTATGAACTTGTACACTCAGACCCTTCAGGACCTGTATGTCTGGCCGTGTAGGGTATGAAAATTTCACATCACAGAACTCAATGTTCCCTTCAAAATTGCTCTAAAAAAGGAGAAAGGCTGAAATAGTTATCATAATTAAATACAGAAGATATGCTAATATCAAACAATCATGACATTGCGAACTTTAATAGGCAACTGAATCTTATAATAATTCATTTACATAAGTTACAAGTATACACCAAATATAATTTACAGTTAGGAAAGCAAAACAGAAATAATGTAAATACTCAAAGACAGGCAGCATCAGTGGAGAGAAAAACGGAGCTAATGTTTCAGGTCTGTGAACCTTCGTCAGAACCCCAAGAAAAGTTTGAAATATGTAGGTTTTGTGTAACTGAAAAGGGAAGAGCAGGAAAAAAAGCAAAAGAAAAAAGTAAATGATAGGGCAGGAGAGTTAAAAGGATATGGAAATAAAATCAAAGAGGAAGGCCAAAGTGATGGGACCTGTAAAGCAACTAAAGAGATGTCCAGATAAGGTATGAATGGTATGATAGGAGCTATACAAATGCAAAGTGAAGGAATTATGAAAAAAGTGAGTGAAAAGTCAAACCAGCAAAAAGGAAGACACAAAATGGGGGCAGAGAACATGAACTAAAATGGTTGAGCACCATGTTCATCCTGGAAGACTTTTAAACTCCTAGTCAAAAGATTGCATTGTGATTTATCGGAGCGCAGCACATGCCTAGGCCAGAAAGATCAGAGTCAGAGCAAGGGGGAGAATTGAAATGATAATTGAAAGGAATGTCAGGGTCTGGGATTTTCCAATTTGGAGCTAAAGTTCTGCTTTAGCCTGGGGTGGGTTATCTCATGCGATTAGATGCTTTATACTTCATTTTCTATGGAAGCAGGATGTTGAGCAAATGACTCCATAAATCGTAAAGGGCTAGAAAGCAGGAACAAAAACTCCGGTACTGTGTGCAAAGACCAGCTGGACACACTTCACTCGCTGCAGTCCAGGAGCCTTCACTCAGTCTGAGTGTCACTCCAACCCTAGTGAAGGCGACCCCAAGGAGCAGAAGCTGGCATACATTTTAGTTACCCTTCAGTACAGGTGTTGCTGTATGGAGTAAAGACAAAGAAGGCAGGTCCTCTTCTTGGGAGATGGCAAAAGGATGCCTCCCTATCAAAAGCATCTAGCCTGGAGTCAGTCAGTGAGTGACACTAATCTCCAACAATGCAACCAGCTGCAGTGCTTAAAGAGAATGAATAAATTGCTACACTCCACTAAAGTAAATGGAACTCTCACAGAGCATCATTCTGTCTAACTCTCCACTGCACAGGCATTTCATTAAAGGCTCATGATCTGTAAGCTTGAGCATCACATGCATGAGGTGCACTGATAAGTTCACATCCACTTCATATTCTCAAAGTTCTAATCCTACAAGGGAACTTCCCGTCCTCCTCACCTACCAGGTATGACTCACCAGCTCGCGTGGTGATGCAAGCTCACAAACTTTTATTGCCCCCATTGTCATCACATTTATTCCTCCTATTTATTTTATTGTGGAATAAGCTGGTCCACTATCAGGTGGAGAGGAACATGATTGACAGAGAGGTGTTGCACATTAAGACCCTCACCCACCTTGAGCAGTGGACAATGGAACTGATCACAGAAGACCAGGTGTATTCATGTACCACTGAAAAGGCAGTGATGGCTCTCTCAGTCTCATAAACTCCAAGGTCCGTTGTCACATTAAATGAGTTGCATTCAGTGTAGCTCACCCGTCTTCTCCTACTCTTAGCTCTTACTGTCACATATGCAGCTTCTCTCCTGTCCTGATCTCCTATTTATAATATCCCTGTTTACCTACCACTTTTGTATATATCTCTCTCTATGAGGTCCATGTCCACCTATCCACACAACTCTCCCCTTTCCTCGTCCACCTACCCCAATTTCAGCTTCAGCATAAACATCACTTTTTCCTAGGTGTTAACTCAAGAAGAGTCAGTGGACTCAAAATGTTAACTCTGCTTTCTTCCCAGAGATGCTGCCAGACCTGCTGAGCTTCTCCAGCAATTTCTGCATTTTTTTTTTGTTTCAGCTTTCCATCATCCACAGTTATTTGTGTAAAAATGTCCCTTTGGCAAGGGGAAGATATGTTCTGCTGATGGCATCTCACTGGAACTGGAAGAAATGGTAGAGGATACTCTCTTAAATAGAAACGCTGCTGCGGTGGAAGAAGAGAGAAACACAAACTTTGTAATCACTCCGGGAAAGATGGAGGTGATGAAGGGATGACAGCAGAAGTGCATGACATTGAATGGACACAGCCCAGAACCCTGACAACCACAATGGGGAAAATAGAGTTGAGGACAATGGACAACATGCCAGAAGTGCTGGTATGGAAGGTAGCATTGTCTAAACAGAAGTGGAAGAGGTGGAAAAACTAGGAGAATGTTTAAGTCTTTATATAAAAAGTGGGATGCAAGGAAGTACAGTTGTCTAGTTAGCTGTGGTAGTCCATGGGTTTACAGTTAATATTAGTCAAAAACAAAACTACAGTGAGAGGTGAAGGAAGAGTTTCAAGAATTCACCATGAAAATTGTAGAATTAATTAACATGCATTTAACAGACAGTTACTGGACATTGAAATAGAACATAATAAGAACATAAGAACATAAGAACTAGGAGCAGGAGTAGGCCGTCTGGCCCTTCGAACCTGCTCTACCATTCAATAAGATCATGGCTGATCCTTTCGTGGACTCAGATCCACTTACCCGCGTTCTCACCGTATCCCTTAATTCCTTTATTGTTCAAAAAAAATCTACCTTTTTTTAAAAAACTTTACTGAAGTAGCATCAGCTACTTCACTGGGCAAGGAATTCCATAGATTAACAACCCTCTGGGTGAAGAAATTCCTTCTCAGTTCAGTCCTAAATCTGCTCCCTCTAATCTTGAGGCTATGCCCTCTTGTCCTAGCTTCACCTGCCAGTGGAAACATCCTCTCTACTTCTATCTTATCTATTCCCTTCATAATTTTATATGTTTCTATAAGATCCCCCCTCAATCTTCTGAATTCCAATGAATATAATCCCAATCTACTCAGTCTCTCCTCATAAGCCAACCCCCTCAACACCGGAATCAACCTAGTGAACCTCCTTTGCACCCCCTCCAGTGCCAGTACATCCTGTTAGAGGCAATCACTTGCTACTTACCAGTTTTTCTCCTTCTTCGATGTAAGATTCAATTAGTGACTTCCTTTCTAAAAGTTGGAATATCTTTTGTGCAGAAATTTTAGCTTTTGTATAGTCTGGTGTAAGAGTTGAAGATTGTCCCAAGTGCGCAGCAGTAAATACAATGACAGCAAAAACCCTAATATTATTTTTAAAAAGAAACAAAAGGTTTTATTCTATTTAGTATTTTGGAAAAGTCTGCTTGTGATGAAATAACTTCACCAGAATTGGGCAAAATATTCAATCGATGTTGTTTTTAACTGATTTCTATTTTCCTAATAAGTTATCCCTGGTGGAAGTAAACTATGTGATTTATCGTTGTAATAATTCAACCAAAGACATAATGGACAAAAACATTTGTCTGGAATATTCTGATCTGGTTCACAACCCTTGTTTCTAAACCAGATTAGACAAAGTGTTTCCTGCTTCTAGCATTTTCCTAGCCAGATTTCTGATGCAAGATGAAACACAACAGGAGCAGTCCAGCAATCCATACAGGCACCATCCCAGCGGACTGCTGCAGAGACCTTTTTTATGCTATATTCTATTCCTTCTGGTCACATGTGTGAACAGTGTAGATCGTGAGCTGAGGAGGCAACCATTCCCACATAAGTTCAGTAATGATGGTGCAGTAGGACCTGTTGGAGGCATGTAAGGGTGTGGGGTGCTTGGTGGGTGAGGGAAGGGGGTGCCAAGTACGTAGGGTGACAGGTGGATGAGGGGATAGGCTTCTGGGGGTATAAGTGGTATGGGTGGCAGCTGGGTGAGAAAGGCAGGTGCCAGGTGCACATGGATGTAGTTCAAGGGTTAAGTGCCGGGTGAGTCACAGCTCAAGTACATGGCAGCTGAGAGAACAGGGTGCCAGGTGGGTGAGGGATAGGATGTCAGCTGGGTAGATGAAAAGGTTTGGGTAGCAGATTGTGGACAATGCAGGTGACAGTTAAGTGGGTGAGACAATTATGATGGGTCAGTTGTTAGAGGTGGGCAAGACTGGATTCCGGCTATCAGGAGGGGCCTGGGAGCTGCCAGACAAGTGAGGAAGTGGGCAAAGTTGGACTGGGTGCCCAGGTTGAGGAATATAGTCAGGGCACCGCAAGTTGTGGGTTGGCTGTATAGCAAAAGTTTTAGTCGGGTGGAGAAATCAGGTACCAGTGGTTTGATTGTCCCTTGGTGTGGAGTCAGGTCACATCTCCACGGTGGGAAGTTGTAACTTTCTGAAGTTTCTGATTCTCACTCAGAGCCTGGGACTCTCTTAGAGGGTTCCAAATGTTGGCAGCTGCTCAATGGAACTTTAAACTTGACAGTTAATTATGTATAAACAGTGTATTGGGATAGCCAAGAGATTACCTAACACATATCATTCAGATTTGCGTGGTCTGTGCCATCATAATAGCTGGGACAATGAAAGCCAGACACAAATTTTTCAAAAATCTGATATTTCGTTGCAGGCCAAAGTCATTTATTTCTTGCCTCAGGAAAAAGAGTTTGGAGCATAATTCTAATACACCAGGGTTGCTCCCATTCTAAATTCCAGCAGAACAAGCAACTCATAAGAACATAAGAAATAGGAGCAGGAGTCGGTCACCTGGCCCATTGAGCCGGCTCCACCATTCAATAAAATCATGGCTGGTCTTATTGTGTATTCCGTTCTGCTTAGCCGCCCACTCACCATAACCCTTAATTCTTTTACTGTTCAAAAATCTATCTTTGCTTAAAAGCAATCAACAAAGTAGTCTCAACTGTTTCACTGGGCAGGAAATTCCACAGATTCACAACCTTTTGGGTGAAGAAGCTCTTCCTCAGCTCAGACCTAATTCTGCTTCCCCTCTGTTTTTGAGGCTATGCCTCCTAGTTCTGGGTTCATCTGTCAGTGTAAACAACCTTGCTGCTTCTATCTTATCTATTCCCTTCATAATTTTATATGTTTCTGTAAGATCCCTCCCTCATTCTTCCAAATTCCAATGAGTAGAGTCCCAGTTTACTCAATCTCTCCTCATGAGCCAACCCTCTCAACTCCAGAATCAACCTAGTGAACCTCTTCTGCACCCCCTCCAGTGTCAGTGCATCCTTTCTCAAGTAAGGAGACCAAAACTGTACATAGTATTCCAGACAACAAGGTGCAGGGCTGGATGAACACAGCAGGCCAAGCAGCATCATAGGAGCAGAAAGGCTGACGTTTCGGGCCTAGACCCTTCATTCATTTCCAATATTTTATATCTAATCAAAATGTTTAAGGAAAGCGATATACAGCCCTCAACTGCTGTACTATCCCAAGAAAACACAGCAGTGGCTACGGGATTAGTAACAATAGCAGGACATTGTCATTTTTATGGTTATTACTATTGTGTTTCTATTGGGTGAACTGGGGCGCTCAGCCATGTATCAAAATATCCTTAATAACTTTATATAATACATATGAAGGGAATAGATAAGATAGAAGTAGAGAGGATGTTTCCATTGGCAGGTGAAGCTAGGACAAGAGGGCATAGCCTCAAGATTAGAGGGAGCAGATTTAGGACTGAACTGAGAAGGAATTTCTTCACCCAGAGGGTTGTTAATCTATGGAATTCCTTGCCCAGTGAAGTAGTTGACGCTACTTCAGTAAATGTTTTTAAAAAAAAGTAGATTTTTTTTGAACAATAAAGGAATTAAGGGATATGGTGAGAAGGCGGGTAAGTGGATCTGAGTCCACGAAAGGATCAGCCATGATCTTATTGAATGGTGGAGCAGGCTCGAAGGGCCAGACGGCCTACTCCTGCTCCTAGTTCTTATGTTCTTATGTTCTTATGTATAAAATATCTGTCACAATCAGCATGCAAATTGTTTTCGGATAGATTATTGATGAAATGCAAGGCTTTGCTTTGTTATGCAGTTCATATTAAGGTCTTTTCAAAGTGACTTACGCATGCATAATTTTTTTTATTCTTTTGATTAATAAACTTGTGCTCTTTTGTCAGAAAACATTGGCAGCCTCCTAAGAAAACATTCAATAACAAATCACCACAGTAACCAACCACAAAAGTTCAATTTATGATCTGTTAAGCCAGGTTTCACTCTGGGATCTGACCTGTCCAATATTACCGTCAGCTAGGATCACAAGAATGGCTATATTTTAGGAAATTACTTACAAGAACACATTCTCAAAAGTCATGAAACAATTTACGATGAGCCATGCTCCAAATCGGAAGACTGCAGACTGCACAAAAAATACAACACATTGTGCCAATCCGTAGCTGAAGCCATAGAGTGGAGCTTTTGAGAGGGAGGTTCTGAGAAAATCATAAAATAGCTCAGTAAATTTGGTATCTTATTCACAGTACAAACAAGTGAAAATATGGTTAATTCAACATATTCATTGTCTTTATATTTATATAATTATCACTTTGAAAATGAAGTGTTAAAAAATGCAGTTTAATTTGAAATAATTGTGAAGGTTATCACAGAATAAGTGGAAACATTGCCATGGTCAATGAGTAGATTACTTTATTCTTGGTGAGAAAGGAGAAAACAAGCTCCTGCTGGATTACCCTTTGGACCTGCAGATTGGTTGATTCCTCCAGGGTTAAAAAAAAATGACAGTGAAGCAAATTAAGGAACTAATTTCTGATAAGAGGGAATCATAGATCACAATCAAGTATTTTGTCTGATCACATAATGTGCATTGTGGACACCTGTGGAATTCATATAATATGCAATCACCATATATTTCCCGCAAAGGATTCTAATAAATTTTGATGGTCTGATTAGGAATTATTTGCCAATTAGATAAAAGTGCATAGAACAACCAATTGCAAAGGCTGAAATCCAATAGGGCTAGACAGTTTTGTTTATGAACAATCTAAGTTCCCATTTTAAACTAAAGGTTGCACGGGAGCTTTCAATCTTTTACAAAAAGAGCTACCAAAATGTTGCTGTAGACTACAATGTTTTCAAACATAGACTCAGCATGTAATATGCTTGTTATTTAAAATTAGTTTGGAAAGACTATGTACCTGTTAGGTTTATCTACATGTTCCATGTATTTTTTATAGAAAGCATCTTCTCTTGTTAAAGATACCACGGTTCTAATGTTCTCTATAGCTTCTGTTGAAATCTGAGAAGAAGTGAAACAAAGGGTCACAAAGTTTGCTATTTTATACAATTTACTAATGTAACCAGAACTACAAAGATCAACAAATGAAGTCTGTTTTCAGGACCGAAGTTCAAAAAAAGTGATCCAACATTTTAATCTAAACCAGAAGGACTTAGTTGCATCTGACGCCATTCTGGAGGAGACCAGCTGATATTCACAACAGTTGTATGTTTTATAAAGGGCCAAGGAAGTTTGCAAGTTAATTGAACAATGTTTAGTTTAGGAGATAAAAATTCAAAAGATCAATTCAGAATATTTCTAAAAACTCAAAGTTTAAAAAAAATTAAATGGTTAATGTAAACGAGCAGCTGCTCAAAGGTTTCTGATTCTCCTGTGCCAATGAATATTAGATTGAAACATAGTTACTAAGTAGTTAGCCACATGTTCCTAATAAAGTGCAGTGATGATGTGGTGAATTTTGCAGTAGTAAATATTGTTGTTAGTAAATACTCAATTATTAGCATCACGACATGTTCCATAAATATTTATTTTTCTCATTTTCTTACTGTGTGTTACAAATCTCAGATGTGGTGTTGAGCAGATACAAAAGTACATTGTAAAAGACCAGAACAAAGCAAATATGAGAGATTAAAAATCACATTAATCCCTTTGTCTTTCTCTTATTGATTACTATATGTGGAAACAGTAACAGCCAGTAGTATTACCTTCCTGTGATTCCTGGAGCCTCTGACAAATTATGTAAAATCATTGACAAAATAGATACAGGGAGGTCACAGTCATTGAGATTTACAGAACGGAAACAGACCCTTCAGTCCAACTTATCCATGCTAACCGGATATCCTAAATTAATCTAGTCCTAATTGCCAGCATTTGGCCCGTATCCCTCTAAACCCTTCCTATCCATGTATGCATCCAGATGCCACTTTAAATGTTGTAATTGTACCAGCTTCCCCCACTTCCTCCGGCAACTCATTCCATACACGCATCTGCGTGAAAGTTGCTGCTTAGGTCCCTTCTTAAATCTTTCCCCTTTCACCTTAAACCCATGCCTTCTAATTTTGGACTCCCCCAGTAAATAAACCTACTTACCCTATCCATGACCCTCATGATTTTTTAATCCTTTATAAGGTCACCCCCTCAAACTCCAACGCTCCAGAGAAATTAGCCCCGGCCTATTCAGCCTCTCCCTGTAGTTCAAACACTCCAACCCTGGCAACGTCCTTGTAAATCCTTTCTGAACCCTTTCAAGTCTCACAACATCCTTCCCATAGCAGGGAGACTAGAATTGCACACAGTATTCTAAAAGTGGCCTAAACAATGTCCTGTACAGTTGCAATATAACCTCCCAACTCCTGTACTCAATGCATTTACCAATAAAGGCAAGCATACTAAATGTTTTCTTCACTATCCTATCTACCTGCACTTTCAAGGAACTATGAACTTGCACTCCAAGGTCTCTTTGTTCAGCAATACTCACCAGGACCTTACTATTAAGTGTAAAGTCCTGCCCTGATTTGCCTTTCCAAAATGTAGCACCTCACATTTATCTAAATTCCATCTGCTACTCCTCGGCCCATTGGCCCATCTGACCTAGATCCTGTTGTATGTGAGGTAACCTTCTTAGTTGTCCATTACAACTCCAACTTTGGTGTCATTTGCAAACTTACTAACCATATCTCCTGTGTTCATATCCAAATTATTTATATAAATGACAAAAAGCAGGATGGCGGATCTGACATATGAGGAGAGGTTGACTAGGTTGGGATTGTTTTCGCTGGAGTTCAGACAAATGAGGGGGAATCTCATAGAGACCTATAAAATCCAGGGAATGGACAGGGTAGATGCAGGGAGGATGTTCCCGATGGTGGGTGTGTCCAGGACCAGGGGTCACAGTATGAGGATTTGGGGTAGACAATGTAGGATGGAGATGAGGAGAAATTTCTTCACCCAAAGCCTGGTGAGCCTGCGGAATTCATTACCACAGGAAGTAGTTGATGTCAAAACATTGAATGTATTCAAGAGGTTACTAGATATAGCACTTGGGGGTGAATGGGACCAAAGGTTACGGGGATAAAGCAGGATTAAGCTATTGAGTTGGACAATCAGCCATAATCATGAAGAATGGCGGAGCAGGCTCGAAGGGCAGAATGGCCTCCTCCTGCTCCTATCTTCTATGTTTCTATGCTTCTATGATCCTTGTGGCACACTGCTGGTCACAGGCCTCCAGTCTGAAAAGCAACCCTCCACCACCATCCTCTGTCTTCTAGCTTTGAGCCAGTTCTGTATCTAAATGGCTAGTTCTCCCGTGTGATCTAATCTTGCTAACCAGTCTATCATGAGGAACTCTGAATGCCTTAATAATGGCAGATTGTTCATATTATGTCTGCAGGACCTTCAGGACATTGAATTGTTGTGTTGTTATCATTTCAAAACAACATTCAAGTGTAGTTCTGAAGGATAATGAAGGGTTTATTTGTACTGTATCTGCTAGAAGCAAAGAAAGTAAAAGGATGATTTCTATTCAGAGGTCTAGATCCACCTAGAGTTTATGTTGGGAATTGCAACCCATAATTTCCCATTTAAAATTTTAACAGACTGGAAGTATTAGGAATTGTGTTCTTCGTTTCCAAATTTACACTCCTATCTAATGTACACTAAAAATATACATTTGTTGAGTCAACTTCTAAATATCAATGAAAATATATCTTAAATATGAAGGAAAAAATACTTTAACACATCACCAAATCACTAACATAAAATAGATTGCCTCTGTTCTATCAGTGTAAGCCCTTTCTTTATACAGTTGCTTACAATTTTATTTTGGGAAAATTGTGGCTGGCGAGAAATACTAAAGGAAGCTTTGGTTTTAGGCAATGGATGATATTGGTTCAGCTACCTATTAAACAGTTCACTGGACTTTGATTCTCAATGATGTAAACATTCATTTTACACTATCGCCTGGAGTTACTGCATGAAATCAGAACATTTAGCTCTTGGGCGTCAAAAAAATGCAGTAAGAATGTCCAGCTAAGTTCTCACCTTTCCAGATTCTTCAAGAGATTTGTTGTCCTTAGATGCATGTCCCAGAACTGATTTCATTGCAATAATATTTGCAGCAAGAAGAAATGGGATAAGGCACAGGATGAGGAGAGTTAACTGCCAGCCAAAAATGAATGCAAGGATTATATCTGCCCCGAGGGTGCAAACATTCATTGCCATCATACCAAGTCGTATTCCAGTGGCCTTGAGGAGAAAAAAAACATTGACGATTAAAGCACTTCTGGCAGTTCAATCTGGCAGCGAAAAAGCTGCTGAACTCATGCATACAAAAGCAGGATCTTGATCAGCTGGGGAAGTGGGTTGAGAAATGGGAAATGGAGTTTAATATAGGTAAATGCAAGGTGTTGCGTTTTGGAAAGTCATATCCAGGTAGGAGTCTCATGGTGAATGGTAGGGCCTTGAGTGTAGTGGAAGAGAGGGACCTTGAAGTTCAGGTACACGGTTCTCTGAAAGTGGAGTCACAGGTAGACAGGACAGTGAAGAAAGCTTTTGGGCACACTGGCCTTGATCAGTCAGGATATTGTGTATAGAAGTTGGAAAGTTATGATGCAGTTACACATGACATTCATGAGGCCGCACTTGGAGTATTGTGTCCAGTTTTGATCACCTTACTATGGGAAGGATGTTATTAAACTGGAAAGAGTGCAGAAGAAATTTACAAGGATGTTGCCAGGACTCAAGGGACTGAGTTATAGGGAGAGGTTGCACAAAATAGGACCTTTTTCTTTAAAACGTAGAAGACTGAGGGGAGATCTTATAGAAGTGTATAAGACCATGACAGATATGGATACACTCAGTCTTTTTCCCAAGGTTGAAGAATCGAGGACAAGAGGGCATCAGTTTGTGGTAAGAGGGGAAAGAATACATGAAGAACCTGAGGGGCGACTTTTTTTACACAGAGGGTGGTACACATATGGAATGAGCTGCTAGTGGAAGTGTTTGAAGCGGGTATATTAACAACATTTAAAAGACATTTGGACAAATACATGGATAGGAAAGGTTTAGAAGTGCAGGGAAATGAGGTTAGCGTGGATGGACATTTGGGTCGGCATGGACCAGTTTGGGCCAAAGGGCCTGTCTCCATGCTATAGGACTCTATGACTAAAGACTAAATAATCAAATGTTGTTGTTAGTAAATTCTTGGTTGCTTCTTGAGGTTATTTGAAAGATTAGCATCTAATTCTGTTGACAGGATGGTAAATACACAGGAATTAAAGATAACAGGGTTAACAGGAGTTGGGAATTATGAATCAAATCTATTAAAATGTGCAAATGGTTTTCTGGTGTAGTAGAAGTATTTCTATATTTGGATTAGGAGGTCAGTGTTCAAGTCCCACTTACCCTGGAGGTATCTCTGAAGATGTCCAATCTATTGATTTAAAAGGAGAACTCTTGTGGTGCAGGGGCAGTGTCCCTATGATCCAGGAGGCCTAGGTTCAAGTAATAACATCTCTGAACAGACTGATTAAAAGAGGTACTAAAATGAATGGAGGAATGGTTTATGGTGCACAACCAAACTACGAACTCTGTCTCAGAGGTGTGACAAACCATGTGTGAACAAGATTTTAAAAAAAATAAAATGCACAGGGTATTCTGTGGTACAGTGTATAGGGTCTCATCACTATTCTGTGAATTGGAACAACATAACCAGTAGAAAAATAAAATAAATATATGGATATAGGTTACATCTCTATTAAAGAGAAGCCCTAGCACTTTCACTTCCTACTATAATTTAAGATCGGCTGCAAAGTGTTCTCAGAACTAGAAGCTGAACAGCTGGATAGTAAAGAACGATTAGATATTTCTTAAACTTTATGGTTTAAAGCCTCTATGAAAGATGGCTTGTTGAATGACTAATTGAGAAAACTGGATGATGTTTCGAGAGAAGATTGCACCATGGAGTTTAGTTGACTGTGTGTATTTCAGCGGTTCCAGTTGGAAATATCTACACCTATATTTGTCTTCAAATTGTTGAACTGATCTAGGTTATCAGATATGGATAGGCTTTCTGTTAAATTCAAAGAAGGATATTTTGAGGTGAGATGCCTGAAGATCTAAAAATATTTTTGGCAATGCGTTAATTTTCGGTTACTTTTGTGGTACAAAGAGGCTCATCAGCAGTGACACATGTCACTTTACTATAATTGTGGAGCCAAATGGAGGGAACAGATCCATATCTCATAGCCCATTGTACTGGTATTGTCAGTGAAGAAGCATTGCAAAGATATAGTGAAGGCTCATTGCATTTGCAGCGCTGAAGGGAAAATTGAATGTATAATCAGGCTCATGAAAAGCAGTCTCATTGTTTAGGATAATTCAGTGGTATTTAGAAGGGAGTGGGCTCTCCGATATGACTCATAAGTCTCTGTTACAATGGGCCATTTTGTCACAGACATGCAGGAGCATGAGGTAGCGAAAGGGCTCACTGTATGACAGCTGCTTTTGCGCCAACATTGTGGCCAGGACAAAGTTCGTGCATGAAATTTAGTTTCCAAATGAGAATAACAGAGCCAGATTTCAAAGGAAAAAAATTAATGTTTTATTGCATAGATAACATCAAATGGAAAAACAAGGCAATCCTTGAGGAATGTGGTAATATAGCATCAGAGGGCCGACTGCCAACTACGCAAATGAAATAAGAACAAAAACAGAAGAAGTCTCCACCCGGATCAGTCATCCTGGAAGCAGCTGGCTATAAAGGATATCTCTGGCCTCTCAATAAATCATTGTCCTGTCTTCTTCATCTCTTTACCTGTCTCCTGGCCTGTTGCTGGATCTTCACCCTCAACTTCCTCCTTAGTGGTTTCCTGCCACTCCTGTATCTCATCCTCAGCTGATACATCCCTCTCTAGTTATGGGGACAGTGCAGGACATTGCTAAATTGCAGGACATGTGTCTAGGGAATGCTGCAAATCCAGGCACAGAAGGTCTTCCTGACACTGTCTACTAAAGTGCCACCCATAAAGTTGAATCTAGGGTGTAGCCATTCTCCAGTTGGGTGGAGCAATGGTCAAGGTACACATCCTGCCTCCGTCCCCATGGACAGTCCGTCTGCAGTTAAAACAGAAGTATGAAAAGGTCTATTGAGAAGATTTCAGTTGAAGGAATTTTAAAGGGAAAGGTAATGGTTGCTGGTGAGCATGAGGATCTGCAAGTGAAAGGGGATAGGAATTCTGCTCATTCAGAAGTGAAGAAATGACCAGCCTCAGCTGGGACTCAGGTCTCAGGTCACATTTGGGAGCCAGGATCTCATGCGCAGGCAATGTAAACAGTATCAGTACATGTGGTTGAGATGATTGGGACATATAGATGGAGATATTATAATGTAAGGACATTCCAAAACAGCCAAGGAAATACTGGTGATGCGTAGTCACTGTAGTAACATAGGAAATATAAAGCAACCATATTGTACATACTAAGCATCCACAGGCAACAATGATTTGAAGATCAGTTTTCAGTGAAAGATAAATGTGAGGGGCGAGGGAGTCAGTGGTTTTCACTTTTACCTCTAAAATATTAAAAGTTTGTCATGACTTAAAGCACATCCAGGAAAGTGCAGCAAATGAGAAATATGCCTCAAAGTTCCAGGTGGGGGCATTAAAGCTGCTGCTTCAAAAGGTAAGTTGAGGATCAGCCTGCATGTGATTTTGTCACAAGATTTCTAATACTCTTTTGAGACTATTATGCCTGCTCTCAGACCTAGCAAAAGCACAATATATTTTCTGGTATATAATCTGGTACCACAATATATTTTATTGTTTTATCTCGAGAGAAAGTTTACATCTGAGCGGAAATGGTGCCTGACAGGTGTTATCAAGGAGAATTTTGTTGGATATTTTGGAGGATTGTAGTATTAGAACTAGCAATTCTATGTGGCACTGCATTACTGCTCACGAAAGAATAGTTTCATGAATTAAAATCTACCCATTTACAATTTACCCCAAAGGTACTGGTTTAAAAGATCAAGGTGTAGAATTCCCTTAAGGGTTCTACTGACTTCTTGCTTTCAATTTGACAGATATCCCAGAGAATTGCCATAAAGATCTCAGTTAGTTCTTCAGAGCATCTACTGATAGAATGGAAAAGTTACAATTTAACTCTTTCTTTTGAAATGAAAAAATGCATTGGATTGCAGGAATCAAGTGTCAAAGAATATATACTGCCCTCTTCCGAACCTTATACTTGTGGTTATGTAACTGTGAAACAGTAAGCATTGATTCCATGAATGAAGGAGGAATATTCTAATGATTTTACTTACCCCTTTAACCTGTGATGCATCTGTAGCCAGATGGGTTATTAGCACACCAACAGCATTCTTGTGATCATCAAACCAACTGATATCCTAGCATTAAAATAAATTAAATGGTAATTAGATTTGAGTCACTAAACAATATAAATTGACAAAAGATTGCAATATCAGGGACCCTTCCATTCAAATCTGGAAGCATGGTGAACAAGTAGATTCTTTGCTTGCTGTGGTGTCTTGGGTTCACTCATGATTTCAGTTTCTAATGGATAGATAGGCAGATCCAATTGGCAGATCTTCTGTGCATACCCTCTGTCAATGGGGCATAAAGGAGGGACCTCACAAACTACCTCGGGAACTCTGTCTATATCCACCCTTGAAGCCTTGTTAGGAACTGTCTGAATGAAGAAAGCCATGATCTTCAAAATGGGAAAGATAATTGAGGCCAGAGAGAAGTGATCACCTTTCTCAAGAGAACTATCAGCTGCCATGGCAGAGAACAGATTTTAAGAAGTGCATTTTTTTTAATTGGACTCTATAAGTGTCTGTGCTCAGTCAGTGGAGTGAAACAGAGTTGAGTGGAGTTTTTAGGAGAGATACTGATGGAATTCTGAGATGACAAAGCCACCGGGCATTCAGGCATCTGATGGGCTGTGGGCTGCCTTTCTGACGGAGTAGGGCCCAGGAGCAGGAAGTCCCACGCATTTAGAATTACTAGCCAGAGATGGGCTGTGCCAGAAGTCATCAGCATGTGCTGCCAGGAAAACACCACCTTGATTCCCAGAAGGTGGATCAACACTGAGAAAAGTAGGTGATATTTGACTGTGGTTTCTGGGGTTGGCAGTGGGTATTGCAGGGAAAAGGGTACAGGGGTATTAGAAGCAAGGGCAGTGGGATGGTTTCAGCGGCCATTCCTGTAGTGTTATGAATCCTTTCCACTGCTCATTATTTTATGTGAGCCACCTGGATTCTTAGTGACCAGAAAGTAAATTTGCTGCCACCATCTTCTTTTTTAGGGTGGGGTCGATAGGACCTGTCTACTGTGGCAGAGCAAAACCGTTAAGTAGCCTAGCAAGAAGAGACTCATCGTTACCAAGATCCACATAAACATTAGTGAGGAGCAGGAGCAGCTTATTAGGCCCCTCAAGCTGGTTCATATATTCATAGAATCATGGCTGATCTGATCACTCTACATTCCCACCTTACCCCTATTAATCCTGTCTGAGGTAGTTTACTGCATGCAGCAAATCAGGTAGAAGTTATGTTGATATGATATACATTATTTATAAGATTACGAGAAGATCTCAGTGGTAGGTGGAACTTCTTCAAAATCCAGAGCTGCACCTCACGTCTGACATTATCCTACTGGTGGACCTTAATGCAGTTTGCAGCATAAACCTTTTCAAAAGCAAATATCTTTCACAATCCCTCTCCTCAAGCTTCCTTTTTTCTCATTAATACATTCATGTACTTAGTTATATTTACTACCATCCTAATTCAACCATCCATTCCTTGAATTCACCAATTAAGGCAATCACGAGATTTCACTAATCTTCTGGAAAATATTCTCTTTGGACTTAGGCTTTTTGTTAAGTGTTTGGCTGGAGGTCTATTGACTTTAATGCTGTTCTTGGCTGTGTGGGGAGTCCCTTTAAACTGGAGTGTCTGTTATTTGTGATTGACCCTAGCAGAGGACACCGTTTCTACTGAACAAAGCATTTTTTTATATTTTGGTTCATGCAATAAGGGCATCACTAGTACTTAATACCCAGTCCTAATTTGTCCATATAAATGGCTGATTATCTTCCCTTCATGGCATCTTCTATGCTGCAATTCAGGAAGGGAAGATTTCTCCATTCAGCTGCTACTCCTTTCCCTCTGTGACCTATACTGGGTTCCAGTTGAGAAACCTCTTGATTACAATTTACATCCCGGTTCTGAAATCCATCCATGGCCTTGCCTCTCCCTGTCCTCCAGTTCTACAATGCTCCACAGTATCTGTGCTCTGCCAATTCCGGCATCTTGCCTCAGACCCGATTTTACCCACTGTAACGCTGACTCTGAATCACTGCTTCCTAAATTCTAGAATCCCCTCTTTATATCGGCTCAATTGAGCAGGGTAACATCATAAGCCCTCTGCTTCAGGCATCTCCAGTGGAGGTAAATAAACTAAGAAATTTTACGTTCTTATGCCAGTCTTATTGAAGGATAAATTTTTTTTTGGCACTCTGACTGAGCTGGTCATAGAAGTTCAATTCACAGCATTGTATTTCTCCTTTGCACAAGGCACTTCAGTGATGGCAGCTGAGATTCTCACAGCAACTTAGAAAAGCTACCTACCTGTTGCAAGATGGATTTAAAAGATAATCCACGCAGCCTCATAGTTAGGATTTCTCCAGACTTTGCAAACATATATCCCTAAAGGGTTTGAAAAGGAAAACTGGTGATTAAAAAAAAGTATCAGATTATCGGGAATTTTTTTTGGTTACGATTCCCTAAAAAGCGTGAAACCAGCGCTCAAATTAAAACTTCAAACTGTTACAGCTCTTAAAATTTTATTTTGGTGAGTAACCATTGTTTCTCTTCTTGACCCCTTACCTGTATACTGTAGCTCAGAAAGAAAATAGCACCTAGAGCCAGGAATATCAATGAAAACATGGCAGTCTTCTGTTGTTTCAAGTCAGGGTCCAAGATTGCAAAAACCTATTTGAAATGATAAAGACAGACTTGCATTTCTATGGATCCTTCATGACCTCAGGACATCCCTCAGCAGTTTGCAGCAAGTAAGATTCTTTTTCCCTGTAGTGTGGTCACTGTTGCAAAACAAGCAGCCAAGTTTCAAACAGCTAAGTTCCAAATAGCAACCTGTTTGGGACCAAAAGTTTGAATTTTTTGGCTGAATTCAAGATATTAATGTTGTGTGGAAGAATTTCTCCTGTACTTCCTTAAAATAAGACAATGGAATCATTTACGTCCACCTGGGCAAGTAGAGAATGCCTTGATTTAAGTCTCATTTCATGGAGGTTACCTCCAATTGTCCAGTGCTATAGTGTAGGCCCAATATGAGCTCAGACCTCCAGAGTGGTATTTGAACCCAGAGTCTTCTGTACAAGTGGCAAGTGTACTATCATTGAGCCAAGGCTAACATCTAAATAGAGTAATTGAGTTCCTAAACACACTTAATCATCATTTTCCAATGTAAATTGCAACATCGTTTGAAATAGAAGAAGTTTTATGATTTTAAATTTCTGAATGTTACCAATGAGAGAGAAAACGTAGCTCACCCCAATAATCCTGGAAAACACAACAGCAAACGCTGGTATGACAGCTCCGGATATCACGGTAGTGAGTAGGCCTATGGCAATGTACAGCCACTCTGGCTTGTTCAAAGCAAGAATTTGTGAATATGAAATTTCTTGCAAACTTTCCTCCTTTAAAATTTGAAAAGAAAAATAGATAATTAAACCAAACTCCAGTTTAGCATTTTCTATTTCAGGGTGATCTCGTTTATTTCTAAAATGCCTGTCATTTGATGCCATAGAATATGGTTGGACTGAATCCTTAGATCACAGAACACGTTTTATGTGACAAATCAGCTTTTCTGTCACTGGGCATTGCACATGTTTGTTTTGGAAAATGAATGGTATTCATGCCATTTTAGGATCAAACAAGAATGTTAACAATGTTTGGTCACATTCTGTTGAAATAAAGGCTTCAGAACTGCAACACAGACATTTGATTTTGACTCTGTCGGGGTTTCAGGGTCAGGGCCAAGTCAACTGGTTCACATGGTAGCAGTGAGCAGCCTTTCAAATTTTACACATCTTGAGTAATATCTGCAGATTACAGACAATGTGGCCAAGGATGATGGCTATGGAGAGAGGGTTAGGTCCCTCAATATATTAGTAATGCCAGAGATTTTTACCTCTAGGGTATCCCTTTGTAAGAGAAATTATTTAATCAACCTTATAAGGTGTATTTCACGTCAGGGCATTGACCTTAAGATCTTTTTTGAACCCTGATACAAATCCTTCGATGTTTTCAGGCAGCTCTACCAAAGAGCAGAATTTCTTAAATGGGATTTGCTTCCTCTTATATTTGGCTCTTCAGCATCTCTCAGGCCCAGGTCTGGAGCAAGTAGAGGTTTCAACTGCTCCAAGCTCCTGCTGCAATTCAGAGGCCGCAGTCATTTAGACAGAGATCCTGCATTTATGATATTTTCAAGCCTCTTGCATGAAGTTTTTCTAACAGTGTAGAGGATTTCTGGTCCTTCAGTTTGAATAGATCCACCATCTCCTTGCATTAACTTAGATCAAGTTAACAAATAAATCAATATTAGATAGCTGTGCATTTAAAGTTACTGAACTGGAAATCTCTCATAATTCTCGACTGAGCATAGTTTTTATATGTAAATTAGAAGTTAACCAATGTGATAATTACAGATGTTAAGCAGTGAGTGCCTAGGTAAGAACACGTTTTCAATGACAACTTAAAACTTTAGGTGAACTGTAATTTTATCTTCCACAGGAGTCATTCCATACTCAGAATGAACAACTGTAGCACCCCAGCAGCCAATATTTGTCTCTAATAATGAGTAGCAAGACAATGTGCATAGGCACAGTGGATTTTTTTTTCTGATATTCTTCCCAAAAATTATTTACATTGCAACCTACTTAAGTGTGTGCTGATCCTGTGAGGGAGGGCAATGGGGAACTTAGATTCTCAATGGATGACAGATCAGCAGTCCATCTCCTTGACCAATGAGTTGAAGCAATGACAAAGAAACTAAGGAATGGCTGAGAGCAAATAGGCTGATTAATGTTATAGCAGTAACTGAAAGATAAATAAATTGGGGCCCACTCTAAAACTTTTAGTATTCCATATTTAATATTTCTAATGTAGTATGAGACCTCATTTAACTATGCTACAAGTAGTAACCAGCCTTCTACAAACACAAATCAAATCCCTGGCGTATGAGAACAAAGGAAAGGTCACAAGAATCACCAAGGTCATGGTGTTACATTGAACTGACAGCAAAGATTTATTGGATCCATATCACTTTATTATTAATGCAGCATTTGAGAGAATTAGGATGTTTTGGTCTTAGAAGAATGACAAATAACCGTCATATGGAGGTGGGCAAGAGGATATTGGTCATTCTTATGTCATAATTAGCTGCCCCATGATCATTGGTCAAAGGATTCAGACAATAGGTTGATGTAGTGTAAACTAACAGTCCCTAGAAATAGGCACTATCAACAAGTGCACAGAACAGAGAGGAGTCCCTACTAGGTGGTCCTTGAGGTGGCAGTCCTCAGGGACTGGTCTTCTTCAAATGGAGAATGGACTTGAAGAAGATTGAGGGATGACCCAGGGAACACTTTGACTGGACAGCAGGATACTTTCTTCACAACTTTACTGAGACTGATATGTTGTAAGCCAACAGCTTGTTTGTCCTCTGATATCAGTGACCCATCCTCAATTGTCATGACTGTGTATTTTCCTTGTATAATTAACTAATTGTCAGATCTAAACCTCTGGTCATTAGAAACTCAAAGCATCTGAAAATTGCTTACAAATGGTCAACTGTCTATATTAGGAAACTGTAATCGTGCCTCCCTAAAATCTAACAGAGGGAAAGAAAAATACAACTGGAGAGAGTGAAAAAGTAGAAAGAAAGGGTAAATATGAAAAAAACTACAAAATTTAAAGAACCACTGAAAACAATTTGCTACAAAAACAAGACTCAATTGTTTGATTGTACTCCTTCTGGGAATAAAAAAGGTGGAGGGATATCCCACAAAAATAAATCTCACTAAAAAGGTATTTATATAGTTACATAGCAACCTTCACTCTCTGTGGAGAGTTTAACAGACAATTAATATGCCATTATGGCAATTTCTTGAAACTCACAGGGAGGCTTTGGGAAAGCTGTCGTCCTTTTCAAAAGGTTAGAAATGAAGCAGCACAAATTTCCAATATTTTGTTGAGACAGTCATAACAAGACTATCTATTCAATGTCACCAGTTACTGCAAAATTTATATATTAATGTTGGGAAGCAAATTAATCTTGGCATTATTTTACCCGTAAAGTATGCTCCCATATGTTGAATGGATATAATTTGCATACAGAACATGCATCCTAACCCCGTGATGAGCAGTTTGCACAGCTTTTGAATATAAACTTAAGATATTTAAAACCAAATATTTCTTGACTTATGCTGTGTCTACTGATGAACAGAAGGAGCTAGATACAATAACAAGCCTGTTCAAAACGGATATCAGTCAGGGCAGGATTACAATTCAGAGACTTTGATTTTAGCTTGCATGATTATAATTTTGTTCTTTTTCATGTTACTTTATTCTTCACTATCAGTTTCTAATAATAAGGCATAGATTTCGTGGTGTTTTGTCTTGATTTTTTAAGAAAGTTTAAAAAATGAAAGAAATGGAAGCAGAAACTGCATTAACTGGATTTGATTACTAAAGTTTGGAGGAAGGGTCACTGGACCTGAAACGTTAACTCTGATTTCTCTCCACAGATGCTGCTGGACCTGCTGAGCTTTTCCAACAATTTCTATTTTTGTTTCTGATTTCTAGCATCTGCAGTTCTTTCAGTTTTTATTACCGAGATTAACTTTTCTTTTTAATCACAGTCCATAGAACAAAACTAAAGAAAATACGCACAAGTATATACTGTACATGGAAAAATATTTGCTAAAATTAGTTCACATTATTATTGAATTCTGACCGGTTCTTTTTCTTGTTCATTGGCCTTTGTTGTATGCTCTTGTTCAGAGGAAGCAAATTGGTGATGTTTCCTGCTTGATTTCCTGCTTTTAATGCTGTTCCTGCTTTTAATGCTGTTCCTGTTAATAATCTTTACACTTTTCTGTTCATTTTCTGATGGTTTCACTTCCTTCAAAGTATCATCTGTTTCTTCATCACTTTCACTGTCCCTACAAGAATTCTTGAACATAAAGCCACACAAGCCGTTATTTTGGTGTTGGAATTGCTGATTCTAAAGGGGTAATTTGAACCCCAATGCTCTACATAAACCGAAACAGTCAAACTCACCCAGAATACTTACCTGCCATGGAAGTGCGATGAATTATCATTTACTGATTTTTTTACTTACTCAGTGCTGTAGGTTAGTTCATTTGGGATGTCTTATCATAACCAGCAGGATGCATTCTTATACATGCATGGAAGGTGAAGACAATATCATCAGGATCTGACAACAATTTTAAACTTCAGACCTAAGTGGCACACTGTAGTGAGTTTCCCAGCAGGAAACAACACAGTGGATTGATGTCAGAAGGCTTCCAAAACCACAGAGTTTTTTTTACTTTTAATGGTCACTCATATAATAGTATGGATATTCCTAAATATTATAGATATCCTCAATTCCTTCACTACATGCATAAAATGAAAATTTCAGATGTTAAGGGCTGTTCACATTGTTGTTGTGAACAGATAAAAGTACTACCAAGGCAAATCTTGCTTAATTTCTTAATAGCTTGTAACAGGAACATTATAAAGTTCTTCTTAGGGAGGGTTGTGTTGACATTCTAGGGCATGTCAATATTAAGAAGCTGTTATTGGGTGTCTTTAAAAACATTAAGATAAGTCTGGAGGGCCTATTGGGATCAGACATGACAATATGCCTCAATGAACAAAGGCAGTCAAAGCTTTCATACAACTCAACTTCTTTTGCACAGGGGTTTTATAGATTTTCACAGAATACGTGTACGGCATAAGCCAATTTATCTTGCACCACTGTATCAATTAGGAGACATATACACTGCATACTGAACATAATTAATTCAGACTAGCAGTGAGGAAAGTGCAGTGTGCTGCCCCTCTGACAACAAACTTGGCTTCTTAATGAGATCCATTTGATGTGAGACTCTCATTTCTTTGCTAAAAAGGTGTTCTTGGAATAGAAAGCAATCTCTCTGGACTTTTCTTCCTCCTCATGTATTGTATATTGTCGTTTCTCTGCAATGAATTGCTTCAATATTTTACCTCATTATATGACGCGCTTGTAAGCAAAATTCTACAGCAACATCTGTCACAAGGAAACAGAATAATTAAGGCTGAATTTGTAATTTTCTGTCTTCTGGTGAAGATGTGTTCAGCTTACCTGTTGCTTTACCAGGGAATAATAGAGACCCTTTCTTTGCATGAGTTCACTGTGTTTTCCTTGTTCAGTGACCACTCCATTGTCAAAGGCAGCAATAACATCGGCAGTGCGAATTGTTGTGAGGCGGTGGGCAATCACAATGGTGGTCCGACCTGTTCTTGCCTGTAGTGAAAGACACTGATCAGATAAGGTATTACCAAACCTTGCTCAAAAGGATTGAAAACTGAACGATATTCCTCTGTAATTCTCAAAGGTTATTTTAATGACCATGCCCCTTTAAACAGAGAACTGTTCATTGACAGGTACAGATCATCATTATGTTCACATTTTGTCATTGCTCAGGAAACCCAGACTGGATGTGAATGTTGTAACTGTACTAAACAGTCATAGCAAAACCTGTTCATAAAAGAAAGAGCTCCCTGCTGTGGCCTCCCTGCTGTGAGGAAATCGTTTTGCAATAAAATTCAGTAACTATGGTTGTGTTAAAGTTTTAGCAAAGATTTGTAGCTCGGGTTGTGGATGAGGTTGTTGACTTGCTCGCCGAGCTGGCTTGTTTTTGTTCAGATGTTTTGTCACCGTGCTAGGTAACATCATCAGTGAGGCCTCCGATGAAGCGATGTTGTTCTACTCCACTTGGAATTTATACTGTCCAGTTCGTTATAGTGAGTGGTGTCATTTCCGGTTTTGTTCTGTATGGGGTTGGATATGGGGTCCAATTCTATATGTTTATTGATTGCATTATGGGTGGAGAACCATGCCTCTAGGAATTCCCGTGCATGTCTATGTTTGGCTTGGGCTACTATAGTTACCTTGTCCCAGTTAAACTGATGGCCTTCATTGTCGAAATGTACTGATATTAAGGAAAGTTTGTGCCAAAAATCACAGTATCTAAATACTATGGACCAGCAATGGACTACAACCCTAGAACAGGCCATCACCATCAAACAACACAGGACCAAAACAATGAAGAGACACGAACTACAGGAGAAACTCACCAAACTGATCCACCACAAAAACAAGGACAATGACAAGCCGGACACATGAATAAGAAACCTATCTAACAGACAATTCACAGAAACTGAGAAAGCTGTCCTATTACGCTGACTGAACTATAACCACAAAGATGCGAACAGAACAGACTTTATGGGCGCCCTGGAATGTACATTAAAAGACAGACTCATGGACGAACACAACAAGCCATTCGACAAACTATTATCTCCACACTAAACAGAAGGAACGAATGGGACATCCTGAACACATCAGAGAGAAAATCACTAGATATACTCAAGAAAGACAAGAACATTATAATCCTACCAGCAGACAAAGGGCACATGACCGTTATTATGAACAAACCGGACTATGTTGAAAAAGTACAGGCACTGCTCGCAGATACAAACACTTACCAACAGGTGGCGGTAGACCCAACACCGCAGCCAGGTAATAGGATCACCCAAACACTGACGAGCCTAAAGGCTGCAGGACAGATAACCACAATGGACTACATGAGAATGAAACCAGAAGGCACGAACACCCATTACTGCTATGGGCTTCCTAAAGTACACAAACCAGATATCCTCCTCAGACCCATTGTTTCCCTACCAGGAACACCTTCACACAAACTGGCCAAGGACCTATAACAGAGACTGAAACACCTATTCGACGGATCACTCCAAACCATCCACTCAACCCAAGAATTTCTCAACACCCTCAAGAACATAAAAATCAGCGATAACAAGATTATGGCGTCCTTTGATGTCACAGCATTATTCACGTCAATTGACATCCCACTAGCCAAAGAAACATTGGCCACATTACTAGAGGAAGCAGGAACACAGACCAGCAGCTCCATTAGCAATGACAACATACTCAAAATACTAGACTTGTGCCTCACTACGCACTTCGTCTTTAATGGTCAAGTATACAAACAGATCAATGGCACACCCATGCGGTCATCCATCTCAGGACTCATCACAGAGGCAGTCATGCAAAGACTAGAACACACCATCCTTCCCCTCATTCAACCTAACCTGTGGATCTGCTACATAGACGATACATTTGTCATTATTAAACACAACAAGCTAACAGAGACCCACCACCTCACCAACAACGTATTTGCCAGGATTAAATTCACAAGGGAAGAAGAAAACAATGATCAGTTACCATTTCTGGACGTCAGAGTTGAGCGTATGACCAACGGGGAGTTACAAGCCTCAGTATACAGGAAAGCAACACACACTGACCAAATCCTCAACTTCCACAACAACCACCCCAACGTCCACAAACAAAGCTGTATTAGGACACTATTTAAACAGGCCACCACTCACTGCAACACGCCAGAACTATGCAGGAAAGAGGAAGAGCACCTATACAAAATCTTCACTGTGATTATGCCAGCAACTTCATCCAGAGGTGCCTACTAAATAGACAACAATAGGACACAGTGCACCCTAACACACTGGCCACACTGCCCTACACCAAGAACATATCAGAACTGACAAAGAGACTCCTACAATTACTAGGAATCATGGTGGCACAGAGGCCCACAGCCACTCTACGACAAACACTCAAGCATTAAAGAGCACATTCCCACAACATGCAGAACCAATGTAGTTTACAAAATACTATACAACAACTGCCACAAACATTACATCAGACAGACAGGAAGGAAACTAGCCATTAGAATACACGAACATCAGCTAGAAGCAAAACGACACGACAAACTTTCCTTAATCTCAGTACAATCAGACAATGAAGGCCATCAGTTTATCTGGGACAATGTAACCACAGTAGCCCAAACCAAAATAAACACTCACAGGAATTCCTAGAGGCATGGTTCTCAATCCATAATGCAATCAACAAACATATAGAATTGGACCCAATATACAAATCCAATCAGAACGAAACCTACTCACAATGAAGGACAGGACAGTATAAATTCCAAGAGGAGTAGAACAACATCGCTTCATCGAAGGTCTCACTGATGATGTTACCTACCAAGGTAATGAAACGTCTGAACAAAAACACGCCAGCTCAGCGAGCAAATCAGCAACCTCAAAGATGGTTGCTTTTCAGACTGGAGGCCTATGATCAGCAGTGTGCCGCAAGGATTGGTGCTGGGTGCATTGTTTTTTGTAATTTATATAAATGATGTGGGTGTGAACATAGGAAATATGGTTAATAAGTTTGCAGATGACACCAAAATTGGAGGTGTAGTGGGCAGTAAAGAAGGTTACCTCAGAGTACAACAGGATCTTGATCAGATGGGCCAATGGAGTTTAATTTAGATAAATGTGAGATACTGCATTTTGGGAAGATGAATCAGGGCAGGACTTATACACTTAGTGGTAAGGTCCTGGGGAGTGTTGCTGAACAAAGAGACCTTGGAGTGCAGGTTCATAATTCCTTGAAAGTAGACTCGCAGATATTTAGGATAGCGAAGAAGGCATTTGGTATGCTTGTTGGTCAATGCTTTGAGTATAGGATTTGGGAGGTCATGTTGCAGCTGTGCAGGACTTTGGTTAGGCCACTTTTGGAACAGTGCGTGCAATTCTGGTCTCCCTGCTATAGGAAGGATGTTATGACACTTTTTAAAAATTCATTCATGGGATGTGGGCATTGCTGGCTAGACCAGCATTTATTGCCCATCCCTAATTGCCCAGAGGACAGTTAAGAGTCACCCACATTGCTGTGGGTCTGGAGTCACATGTAGGCCAGACCAGGTAGCGGTGGCAAATTTCCTTCCCTAAAGGACATTAGTGAACCACATGTTTTCTTTTCCTGACAATCAGCAATGGTTTCATGGTCATCATTAGACTCTTAATTCCAGATTTTTATGGAATTCAAATTCCACCATTTGCCATAACTGGATTTGAACCCAGGTCCCCAGAACATTACCTGGGTCTCTGGATTAATAGTCTAACGATAGTATCACAAGGTCATCGCCTATCTAGTGAAAGGGTTCAGAAAATATTTACAAGAATGTTGCCAGGATCGGATGGTTTGAGCTATAAGGAGAAGCTGAATAGGCTGGAGCTATTTTCCTTGGATGGTCAGAGGCTGAGGGGTGACCTTATAGAGGTTTATTAGATCATGAGGGTCATGGAAAGGGTAAATATACAAGGGACCAAAACTAGAACGCGTAGGTTTACGGTGAGAAGGGAAGGATTTAAAAAGGACCCAAGGGGCAACCTTTTCACACAGAGGATGGTGTGTGCATGGAATGAGCTGCCACAGGAAGTGGTGGAAACATTACAACATTTAAAAGGCATCTGGATGGGTGTATGAATAGGAAGGGTTTAGAGGGATACGGGCTAAATGCTGGCAAATGGGACTAGATTTATTTAGGATATCTGATCGGCACGGATAAGTTGGACTGAAGGATCTGTTTCTGTGCGGTACATCTCTATGACTCTAAAGATCAAGTGTGGACCAAATTCTTTCTGATAGGTCGGGCCTTCTTTGACACAAATTACTAGAAGGATTTTCGTCTCTAAAACTTATTGTACTCTATCACATTTCAAAGTATCCATTAAAATGCCTCTTGCTAGACATAGCATGCACTTTCTGTACTTTGAGATGATAGTAAATCCAGATATAAATAGTTTCCATTACAGGTGGTTCTTTTTTTATTTTTGCTTCCTTTCTCCAATTTGACTGACCATTCCAAAGGGCTTTGGAAAGACAAATTGGGAGTGAAATTTGAATATAGACTGTGCTTTAAAGATTAGAAATGTGGAGGAAGAAAGATTAAAATTTTGATTGCAGTCATTTGACATAGACCATTAAAGATATGCACTGCAAAAGTTTACTTCGAAAACTAGTCAGTCTGCTGTACATTTCTGAATTTCCAACTTCTTTTTCCTTTGTAAAGTCATTTACTCCATCACATGAAGGATGTTGTATAAGATAATGGTTCCAAAAGAGTTAATGTTGGAAACTACATCAGGGTCACCTCAATTAAAGATCTTACACTGCCTTTGGTGGAGAGTAGTGAAGTGCAGCTTGAGATCCCAATAGGATCAAATGAGTCATTCATGGCTCCTAATAGCCTTAGTAATTATGTTTAACTAGCCAATGTAACCTGTATCTGTCATCATCATGCAACATAATATATTTTGTGGTCAAAACAAGTGTGTCTTCTTGTTAACACTTAATAGTAATTC